GGACGGGGTCTGCGGGTGCTGGTCACTGCCGCGTTAAGTGTGCTAGCTTCCAAAACTTCTGCGCGCATTAGTCGTGCAGCACAACCTACAGCTCCTTTTTGTCCTGCAGAATTTGCTTCAAATAGTTTCTGTCACTTTACTACCCATTTTTTTCCTTCTCTGATGCCCTGCGTCCGATCCATGAGTGCACTTTGTTGTATATTCTGGTGCATAACTTTTTTGCCTGTCCCTGAAATAACTTGTCTTTGTACTGGGGATTGAACCCAGAGCCCCTCTGGGGTTCTTAGCCCTTTTATTATCTGAGGTATGTTCTTAGCCCTTTTATTATCTTTTGCGACAAGGTCACTCCTAGTTGTAGAATTGCCCAGGCTTGAGTCGAATTTGCAATCCTCCTGCCTCAGCCTCCCAAAGTCCTGGGATTACAGGCCTTTTCCACCATGCTGGTTTACATTTTGGTTAACTTTCTTTCTTTGCTCGTTTTAAAAATTACACATTTTAAATTTTTTTCAGCCAGGTACTGTCACAATCTGTATATGGCTTCCAGCACTCAGGCACGGGTTAAGATAGCTTCGCATCAGCACGGCCTGAAGCTGACATCCTTTCTTTTCCAGAGGCCTTCAAGATGGTCATAGTGATCAGATGCCAAACAGGACTGCTTCCAAGTTCAACACCGGTGGCGTCCCAGTCCACCACACACATACTCGGTACTAGGACTCTTGCACACGCAGAAAAATAAGCACGACATACTTGCGTTTTCCTTACAATTTGTGGATGTATGGTGTTGTTAAATGTCTTTAATAAAGTTTTAAAAGGCCTGAAGATGTAACTCAGTGCAAAGGCCCTGTGTTCAATCACCAATATGACCAAAACAAAACAAAAAAACTGAAACAAAACCAGTTTTCAAAGATGAACTCGGTAGAGGCCGCGGACCCCTTTCTCAGGTAGCGCTCGGTACTGTGGTCTCTGGATGGAGTGCTGAGCTGTTGGAAGTCATGCATGGGCACCGCCATTCCCTAACTTGTCCCCCTTTTACACCAGATGTCCCTGCAGCCTTCAGGTAAACGTGCCTGACATTTGTTTCCTATCCTTGCACCTCAGCCCAGAGGTGACACCGACAATGATCTTCCCAGCCCTGCCTCTTTCAGGGGTGGGGGGACGTGAACCTCTTTTCTTGGTCTCATGCTGCCCAGAGCCACTGAGAAAAAAAGTAACCAGCTGCGTGTGCAGAGGCCTCCTGCACACCCAACTAACCTCAACAGATTTTTTTTTTGTGTGTCTTTTTGAGACAGGGTCTCACTATGCAGTTCAGGCTGGCCTTGAGCTCACTTTGTAGTCCAGGCAGGCCTCGAATTTGCAACGATCCTCCTGCCTCAGCCTCCCAAGTGCTGGGATTCCAGGCGTGTCATCCACAGATTTTTTGTGTGCAGCAGTGAGGGTGGACCTCAGGGACGCTCTGACACTGAAATGTACCATCAGTGATCCCTTCCCTTTTCATAGTTAATTGTACACATTCTTCATTAGCAGTTGTAAGTTATCAAGCTATCAGACATTGTTCCCTAGAGCAGTCTGACTTCCTGGTGTTCTGCCCCTCGAGGAGGACAAGAACAGTATGAGTGAGAATGGCCATATTCTAGGTCTATTTATTTTGAAAACTGAGCATCACCTTCTGTGAGGAGGTAGTATTCAACTTAAGAGGAATGAAACAAGAATGCCAAAGGATCAGGCATTATTTTCCTAGCCAGCTTCCTAGTCAGAAATGAGCCAGGGAAGGTAAAAACAAACCAATGAACCAAACAAGTGAAAGTAGCCAAGAAAGGTAAGACATTTTATTTTACATACAAAAGGGTGCAAACTGAGTCCTGTTCCTCCCCGAATTGGGGAAGAGGTATACTCAGGAGATCACATTTGTGTTCTCCATGGTGCTCTAGGAAATGGGCTACTCTGAGATATTATCAGGTCCCATTTTCCACTTCCTACAAAGGCGGCTACTTCCTCTGCAGAGTTTTCCCCTATGATGTACTAATCTCTCGCCTGGAGGAACCACTTCAAATAAACTTCAAACTGACATTCACGTTTAAAAATACTATAAATTTCATTTTCACAGCTAAGCTTTGTGACCAGTGCCGGGGTTTACGAAACATTACATATCTTTTTAAAAAGGCATTTAATAATCAGACACATCCACACATCAATTAAAACTGATTTCCACAACTGATTTATACATTATCTAGTTAAAAAAATTGCAATCAACATCCCAACATCTTTGTAAGAGTACAACGGGCAAAGATTAAAGAAACAGACAAAGGGTAATATAATAAATTAGAGGATGTAATGTAGCCAATGGGAGCTGCTGCATCAACGTTACTTTCCATTGGGGGGATTTCGAGTATTTTTGGTTTCACCTCTTTCTCTTGTTGTTACTCTTCTCTCTCCTTGATGAATGGGGCTCACCCCAAGAGCCAGCTGGCTAAGACGCTGATTGAGAAGCTCGCTTGTCACTGTGACAAGTAAAACTCAGGAACTCTTGGTTCCGCACAGCCTACCATGAGTTTTTATCAAAGTGAAATGTACAAAGGAGAGCGCGCGCGCGCGCGCGCACACACACACACACACACACACACACACACACACACCCATCCATCTGTAAATGCATCCCCCCCAAAGAAATGGCTCATCTTTCCTGAGACATTCCTGACAGATAATAAACAAGCCTAAAAAAAGCTTTTGGCGTAGGGCTGGCCTGGAGCTCGCGAAGAGGAACACTGAAAATGTCACACCTACCCTGAAAGAGGGACTTGGGATGCAGCTATGACAGCAGTCCTCTCTGGCCTAAGGTCGCGGGATGACTGCACTGCACTCCTACGTTTTACTGTGGATAATCCTCTGCTCTGAGACCTTCAAGGGGGTGATGGCACCGGAAAAGTTACTTTCAGTAAAAGAGAAAAAAAGAGATTCTGTCCACCGAACTGAGGTTTCTTGGTAACATCGGTTGGTAATCAAACTAGAAATGGATGGAGTACAACGCTCGCTTTTTCCTTTGTAGGAAATCTACAAATACTGGAGTGGGGTTTCTGGTTCATTTTCAGAAAATATGTCAACTACTGTACTACTGTCTATATTCAGGGACCTACGCACTATTGTGAATACAATGAGAAACATTCTTCTGCACTTAAGTCATGTGCAAAAGGAGTGAGGAAAACATTTGTAAGACTGCTTACTGGATCAAAGACTCCCAAGACTCGTGGCTAAACACTGCTCAGAATCCTACAAACTCAGAAGGGCCACACCTGCCTCTTCTTTTTCTTACACAGAAACAAACCAACCCCCAATAAACCCCCACACCGAACAGAATCCCGACCTGACTCCTACTGACTCACCGCGGGAAATCCTGGGAGTTACTGACCACCAACCTCTAGGTGGGGCTTCCCCGGGGTCTACACAGCAAGAACTCGGGGCATTAGGGCCTGGCACCAACACGGCCCATCCAGAAGGGGTACCTGGTTATCCCGGCTCCCTGAGGGTCTCTGGAATTCATCTGCCCACCGTGAGGCAGTGGTGGGGCTGGTGGCAGTGGCCTGGCAAAGGCAATGTTGGCTGAATGGCCCCACAAACTCCCAACTTGAGAAACTCCACCCCCAGCACGCTCTGACACGAGACACACTGTCAAGGCAACGTGACGGGAATGGACAACTGGCTTAATGTGAACACAGAAGAGGTGGCTGGGACACAGGAAGCACATAGGCTTCGGAGAGATGCATCGGACAGACCGGTTCTGCTGAAGAGATGCTGTCTAAATTCTTATTTTTGAGAAATGCAGGCCATGCTTGTTCACTAGGCAGGGGAAAGATATCTTTTATGTTACAAAAAAAACAAACCAAAAACTTTGGTTAAGGCTACGGTCATTAGTAACCGCCTAACAGAACTTGACGTCGGTGTGCCTCTCTGCCGGTCAGCACGGTTCCCGGCACTGGAAAGGGTCACCGAGTAAGCACTCCCAGCACGCACCTCCACGGCCTCGCGGGAAATTCCTTTTGGAGGCGGCGGATGCCGTCTGGTCAGGTGTGGGAACTGTTTTTATGTACTTGGAATGAACTGAAAATAAACAGGAAATCATCAGTTTTCCTACTGGACACCTCAACCTGTCTTCTGAAGCACTGCGTTCTAAAGTAAATGGATTCCCCTGTCACCCGACTCACACTTTCCTACACCTCGTTTCTTCCTACACAGAGCCAAACACCACTGTTCATTAAGGCAGTCATGAATGCACACCGGCTGCTGGGACATCCGTCACCCTTGGGGAGCCACTGACCCAGCCCTGCAGAGGAAGGCTGCGAAGGCCCAAGTCCAGGTCTCGTCACAAATGCAGACGTCCGTGCCTTCGCGGCACCCGGCCCTGCTGGCCCCCGTCCACTTGGTGCAACATCTGACAGACGGCAGCGCTTCAGAGAACCCCTAATGTCTTAAGGGTTTTTAAAAATGCAAAGATGCAGAAGTTGCTTTAAATTTGCATCAATCCCAAAGAAAATGATCCTCAGACATTACGGCTGTGAAATGAAGCAAGCTGAGAAACTAGAGTAAGCGGACTATGGGTGGGGTGAGAGGGAGTGGCTGTCCCCAGGATGTGGCTGGGGCACACAGCCGGGCGACAGCATCAACAGGGCCGAAGGGGCAGCCTGATGTGTCGGCGGGCTGGGACAGATGACCATGCTGGTTGCGGGGTCCTGTTTTTTTCCTGGGGGGCAGGCAGGTTAACTGTAAGACTGTAATAGGATCTCTCAGCTCTGAGACCATCTTGGAGTGCCAACGGCCTTGCAAGGTTCACCTCTAACCCTACATGCTAAAGGGGCCTGGGGCTCCTCAGCTTTGCTATGAAAGCCAAACACCTAGTAAAAGACTAGGGGTGGGGGGCTGGAGGGTGAGAATAGTGCATTAGGAAGCCACCTCCCAACTGCTCAGGTCCAACCCCTCAAGAGCTAGCCTATAAAAATTTTAAGACAAAAAAGGTCACAAACCCAGCCCCAAGGCAGCCTGCCCTGCAGCCAAGCCGCTCACTGCCTTTGCTTTCTTGTGGAAGCAGGGTGGGGAGGCACTTGGTGGGGTACAGTGAGCCCGGATGCTCCAGGCTTTGCCACTATTTCCCCTGCCCTCCCTTGAAAGGCAAGGCGTTTTCTATACAGGGATGAGGAAATTAAAATTTCTTCATAGGAAGTTAAGAGTTGCCCAAATGCCAAGCGAGACTTTGTAAATTTCAGGGATGGGCTTTATCCATTAGGTACTGGCAGGCAAGCACACCCCAAGAGGCAGAGTCCCTGTGAGGAAGGGGTGCGACACTGCCTCTCTCTGCCACGGTTTCATATACTAAAATACTTCTTTTAAAGAAATGGCAGACTGCAGCCTTTACATAAGCTAAGCAGGTTTGAAGCCAGTGAAGTGATTTTCCCAAGCCCGGGTTCCATGAACAGGTGAATCTGGTGATTCTGATACATCTGCATTTCCGATTCACCTGCAGTACAACACGGACTTGTCAGGAAACGCCAGCAACCAGAACGTATGCCCACCTGGAGCCCAACAGCCAGCCCTACGCCTCAAGCCAGGGACAACACTTCTATGCTCCCGCAACCACCAGACTACGTCAGCTATGGTCAGCAGGTCAGCCTTCTGTTCCTAGGTACAGGACTTCTTCCCCTGACGTACACGATCCTTTCTCCTCTGTCACACCGGGGTGAGAAGCCATTATTTGGCAAGGCCCCTCAACTGAAAACGGAGCCTGAGAAGACTAACTCCAGACATTACTAACTTCAAACACTGCACGAGGAGCCAGAGTGCTTCGCAGCGGTGCTTCTTGTGAAGCCGCCACGGCAGGAGTGCTGGGTACCCCGGGGAAAACACGTCTAACACACGGCCATCTTATCTCCAAGTTATGTCCAACTACAAAGGTAACTTCAGACCTTTTGGTGAAGCTTTCCCAGCACCAACCTCCTATGCTCCTATTCACGTGACCCTAGGTCTGGACGCTACGGGCCTGGTTTTGGATAAGGCAAGCAGCCCAAGTGCTACAGCTTAGCTCTTAGGGCAGATGGCACACAATGACTTTCTTTTCCTGGCCCTACGACGCCACACGCTGAGCTGAAGCTTCTCTGGCAGTTGGAAGGCAGAGTCACTATCCACTTTTTGTCCACTAGTGGCAATACAGTGGTGGCTATTTAGCCACTAGTTTGTCCCCAAAGTCACCAGAAATTCACAGGACTTATCTACTAGGAAATCCCTGGCGGTGAGAAGAACGTTTCGGATTTTGTGGTAAGCATCCCCTTCCGTGGGGTGAGCTGTCTTTTGGTCACTGTCTGGCTCGCTGCTCACCCCATGTGCGGAGGGCGAGGCTTGTGAACTGCAGGAGGATTAGGTCAAGAGGCTCTGGTAGAGACATTCTTCAGCAGCTGAGAAGACAAAGGAAAATTCAAGTATGTTTCTTTGCCAACCCGAGTATATACTCAGAATGACAGTTTGGCTTCTTCTCTTCCGGGTGCTGTAGATCAAACTCCTTCCGTGGAAAATGTCCTCTGGACCCATTTCCTGTCTGAATGGCTTGGCTGGCCCACCCCTCAAAACAGAAAAAATAAGACTCCCAATATAACTAGACATAATATGCATCTGCCATGTTGTTTTAAAAAAAACAACTAAAAGTGCAATAAAGTCAGTTTTCTTTCCTCTGCTCAGAACAATTTGCATGTCCCATCACTGCCTGGAGAAAGGAACTCACTCATCAAGAAAGCTAAGGATGCCACCGCACGGGGACAGTAGACTGCAGATTTCTCACAGCTTGTGTCCTACAGTGTAAATTCACAGGGGAGGGGGAAGGAACCTGAACCCTGCGGCCATCTGGGCGGAGGCTGCCCAGGCACGGAGCAGAGGCGGCCATGCTGCAGACACACGGGGAGGTGCAGAAAGACGGTTCTCCTCCAGCGCTGGCCTGGGCCTGCCATTTTCCTCCTAGCTCCTTGGCCGTACCCACCCTGGGAAGCCCTCCGTACACAAAGCCTTTAGCTCACTAGCTTTTATGCAGCAGAGGGCTGAGGGCGGGATGAGAACCAGGAGTAAAGCAGGGCAGGGGAGAGAGTAGTAGTCCTTGAGTTTTTGTGAATGACACCTTCACTGTAAACAATGGGAAGGAGGTCTACCAAGCAGCCCCGGGGCAATCGGTGCAGGAGCAGCAGCTCCGGGACCTGCCCAGAGCTTAGGCAGGAGGGGCAGCCCCTGACCCCGGGGCCCTGGCTGCCAGCACTGGCTCCTTCTGGGGGCATCTGTTTTCTTCTTTTTGGTTTGGATCTCCACCCTCCCTCACAGAGGAGTTCCTTCCAATGAGAAATGGCAGGAGCTGCAGGTGCAATGGAGTCAAGAGTCCCCAGGGCCTGAGGACTCCTGGGAGGCACTGGTCACTTGTGGCGCTGAGTATTCTTCTTCCTTTTCCTCTTAAAGAAACAGCAGCACCTGGAGCACAAGGAATGTTGCATGTCAGTGCTAGAGGCCTACAGCTTCTGGCAGACCTCTGCCTGCTTCTGCTTACTGCAGGGGGTGGGACTTTCCCCCTGGCACCCACCCTCAGGGCTGCCCACCACCAAGAGTGCGCACAATGAGGCAGAGGTGTCATCTGCCAGGAAAGCCAGAGGAATCAGCTGCTTAATTTCCATCTGCAGCTGCCCAACCTAATTATCCAAATGCTGCAGGCTAGGCAGGGCTGCAAGGCATTTCTGGAAGGAGGATGAAGAGGGCTTCTTCCCCAGCCTAACACCCAACCCAGATGCTTCATCTTTGTCTTGAACCCTAAGAGTAGCCTGCATCATCTGCTTCTTGATACCGAGGCCAAATTATTTAATGCAACTCCCTAGCCAGAGGGCAATGAGGCTAAACTAAGGCATACACAGAAAGTCTGGAACTCTGGCAAGATCTCAAGATGGGACCAACAAGTGCAGTAATTCTCTCTACCCCCACTCCTGCCCCTATCCGATACCTGGAGTATGCAGGAGAAGCCCCAAGTCACGCAGGAACTGTGAGCCTAGCTCCTTTCATCTGAAGGGATCAAAACCCAAGTCTAGCAGCTGATCCCAGGAAGCTCTGTGGTGGCAGCATGCTCCCCAGCCGGCTTCCGGAGGCTGTGCCGCTGGGCCATGCGGGCTCTAGAATGGGCCCTGCTCATGGCAGGGGCCCAGGTCTCTGTCACAGCACTCCAGTGCCGCCTCCTAGGGAGCAGCCACAGCCCGGCCCCTCCCCAGTCAGGCGCCCTGCCTCCTCCAGGCTTTGGGCCTCGCTTAGGCAACCTGGGGTGGTGATGAGGGCTATGGCAAGGCTGGAGCAAGATACATTCTCTGCAAGGAAGTGAGGGTACAAGGGGCAGAAGGGAGAGGATGAGTCAAACGGAGGGGAGTGCTGGACCCAGTTACACTTGCTGGACCCAGGCGGAGAACAGCTTTTCTGAGAAAACTACCTGTAAGTCCCTTGCCTACCCTTCCAGGCTTAAAGCCAGAAATATTTGTATAGAAATAAAGAACGCTGTCACTTCCCATATCCCTAAGTTCTTTTTTTTTTCTTTTTTTTTTCTTTTTTTGTCTTTTTTGAGGCAGGGTCTCACTATGCAGTTCAGGTTGGCCTTGAGCTCACTTTGTAGCTCAGGGTGATCTCGAACTCGTGATGATCCTCCTGCCTCAGCCTCCCGAGTGCTGGGATTGCAGGTGTGCGCCACCACGCCCGGCTCTGATCCCTAAGTTCTCCACTGAGTTAACAGTCTTGTTTAGTCAGACCCTATGGGATTACATCCCATAACCTCATTAGAAACGTGGAGATGCTTCCTGGAATGCAGAGATAAACATCTATACAGAATGATGGGCTTTCCATAAATAAAACTTGGAAATCCGCCCCCCCTCCCCGTACCGGGAATCGAACTCACGACCTTGTGCTTGCCAGGCAGGCGCTGTGCCGCTGAGCTAAATCCCCAGCCCCAAACTTGGAAATTTTGGAAACCTGAGTTTCTCAAGAGGGTCTTAAAATTTTTCCTCTGAGTATATTAATGACATTTAGAATTTATCCAAATTAGGGGCTGGGGATTTAGCTCAGCGGCAAAAGCGCCTGCCTGGAAAGCGCAAGGTC